TCCACGGCGTACAGAATGTTAATGCTGTATTTTCTTGTTTCCTGTTTTCACTTTTCCTTTGTGGAAAGCGATTTGATGTGACATTTGTCTAATCGTTTGAGCCGCTAGGTTAAAGTTGATGTGATAGCCCAGGGAAGTCACTGGGTTGTGAGCATATGTACCTACCAGAGCAAAAGTGGGAGAGCGGGAATTTCCACCAGTGTAATCAGGGTGACAGCCCAGCCAGAGCGGACGTGGGAGGGCGGGAACTTCCACCAATCCACGGGCGACAGCCATGTGTGATGTGCTAGGTGTGAGCTTGCATTTGTGGGCTGGGTGGACCGCTGTCTTGAGAGGCAGTCCTGGACCCAGGCTGCCCTCAGGGGGAGTCCTTTTCAGTGTGCCAAATGTCTTCCCCGAGAGCAGAATTCCCAAGGCCTAAGCCAGATGTCTGTTCTTGTAGCGTCTCCAGGAAGGCGGGAACGCTGCTTAGGAAGGATTAAAGAGAACTGAGGGTAGAGTTCAAGCCAACTCAGCAAGTCCTTACTAGGTACTCAGTGTGTCCCCTCCCCCTGGGAGACACTGGGGCATTTGGCACCTTCAAGGGAACTGGATGAAGAAATTAGTGACATGGGCAGAAATGACCATTTTTTTGAAATTAATTTGAAACTGCTTGACTTGAATTTCTTTCTCATCCACCAGTTTGCTCTGTTGGGAATTGATAGATACCTGAACCCTCATCCCAGCTTCAGGACTGAGGATTTTTAATTTCAACTATTTTAATTTTTTTCTGTTTTTTAGGGAAGTGTCTACAGGGTGTTCAGGGTCTCACTACTAGATCACACTTGTAGTGATCCGCCTGTTTACAGCCTCCCAAGAGCTGGGATTACAGGTGCACACCACCATGCCCACCCTCAATCTGTTCCATGGAACTATTATAATCTCTATTTTACAACTTTATAAACCATTAATTTGTGAAATTACTGATGGCTTTGTAACATGAGCATTTTGGTGTTCTGTTTTTTTGTAGCAGGAATTAAATTTTCTAATTTGACTTCAGTTATAGCTGTGTGCATTTGACATTATTCATACTGAAATAAAAAAAAATAAGGGCTGGCCAAATAGCTCAGCAGATTAAAGCACCTGCAAGCAGGTGCAGGGGCTGGGGGCTCAATCCCTGGACCTGCTGTGGCAGCCCCGCCCCCAGGGCACACTGAGACAGCATTTGAGACTGGGTGTGGTGGCGCACGCCTGTAATCCCAGCACTTGGGAGGCTATAAATAGGCAGATCACTATCACTCTGATCTAGTACTGAGACCCTGAACACCCTGTAGACCCTTCCCTAAAATACAGAAAATAAATAAATAAGTAAAACAGTTGCAATTAAAAATCCTCAATCCTGAAGCTGGGGATTTAGCTCAATGGCACAGTGCTTGCTTAGCAAGCATAAAGTCCTGGGTTTAAGTCCCCCTACAAAAGAAAAATCCCTCAATCCCTAGATGTCAAGGCTGTAACTTTGGGCCACCAACCTGTGCTCTTAAAAGGTAGTTCTCACGCACTCTAAGTTATCTGACTTTAATCCGTTTATGGCAAAGATCTTTTGAAATTTTCTGCTTGGAATGCATATGTGCTACCTAGAAAAGTTCAAAGACCGTGAATTTGACGAGAACACACTATTATGTTCCACTGTTGTGGGAGTGCCTCATGTGGATCACTCACTGCACACTGAAGGGCGAGCAATGCTTGCACTCACTTTACGACTCTAATGCCCACCGACACATGTGGCCAGTTATGGGAGTACATTGATTGTTACCGTGTATTTTGTCCGATTGCTCTTGAAAAATATGCTGTTTCTCTCTTCCCACTGGCTGTGCGCTGTGTGAATCTTGGTCGTGATGTACCTAGGAGATTACGGGGTGGTACCACATTAACAGTCACTTTTGCCACTCAGTTGAGCAAACAAGTTTTTGGCAGGTGCTTGCTAAGAGCTAGTGAAGACCCCAGGCCCTGGTGGCCCCAGGTGACCTGGGCGCCTCCCCAGTCCACCTGAAGCCTCTATGAGAAAGACAGCACATAGTTCAAGGAGGATCAAAGAGGATTAATTTAGCATTTAAGTAAGTAGGAGAGATGGGCGGCAGGACCTAGAGAAGTGTCCTCAGCGACTCGCAGCACAGACTCACGGCAGGCTGGAGTGCGCAGGCGCTCCCAGACCTGCCCCGCCTCCCTTAGCCTCACACCTCCCTGCACATAAATGCCAAGGAGGAGACGCTTTTGGTAGATGGTGGCTAAGGGGGGTGAAGAGGAGACCTGACTCTCTCCTCCTCTCCTGCCACGTGCATCCCTTGAACGCCGCCTCTTGCCTTTCACAGACTTGGAGTGAGATCTGCTTATTTTTAAATTCTACTATAATTAGGTGTCAAAAAGTTAAGGTGGGAACATCCTCGGCAGACAGAATGAAAGCAGGAAGTGAGGTAATCTACAAGCCCCGGAGTTGGCCACCTGTGGCCCGGAAGGATGGAGTTGGCCACCTGTGGCCCGGAAGGATGGAGTTGGCTACCTGTGGCCCAGAAGGATGGAGATGTCTTGCAGGGGAATCCCTAACCTGGGAAAGGGCAGTCACTTAGGGCGCAGTGACGTTCAAGGGGTGCCTGGCCTGGGACAGCCACGCTCTCCATCCATACTTTTTAACACTCTCTACTTGTGGCACTGACATTCATTTTTCTCATTAAAGTTTCAGTCTTGTTGCTAATTTTCAATAAAAAAATATTTTTTATGTCTCAGTCTTAAGGGTTCGGTTCTGTCCACCATCTTCAGCCCTGGGTGCTTAGAGAGGTTTCTTCTCACGGCCTACTTCAGGAGACACTTGGATTCATTCATAATTTTGCCACAAAAATGTATGTCAGTACACTCCTACACCTCCAGGGAAAGCAGTGGCACCGGGAAGTGTCTTATTTCTTCTGGCTGTACTTCTATTTAGGTGCAGCAAATGGGCGGAGGGCAGCGGGCTGCAGAGCGCATCCGCAGGCCCTGGCGGAGGACGGCGGGCTGTGGTGCGTGTCCACGGGCCCCGGCGCCTCGTGGTCTGACATCTATTTCTGTGGCACCATAGATTAGTGCTACGTGGGTGTTTCTGGGCAATAGGTAATTACACTGTCTGTGTTGGAGTTAATTTAAAAATACTTTCTTGCTGTTTGCAGCAGCAAAATGGATTAAAATGCAGTAAAACTAAATTCAATCTTCTGAATGAGCCATTTCAATTTTTCCATTAATGCCAGTGATTCCTTTCACAGTGCTTTTTTTTTTTAAGATTTATTTTTCATTTATTTATTTATTTATTTATTTATTTATTTGGTAAAGGGCCTTACTATGCAGCTCAGATTCACAGTGATTCTCCTGTGTCAGCCTCCCCAGCTCTGGGATTACAGGCGTGCGCCATCAGGCCTGGTTTCGGTGACCACCTCAGGGTGCCTGTGTTCTGGGGCAGGCACAGCATGCAGTACCGGGGATTGAACCCGGGCCCCTAAGTATGCCAGGCAGGTGCTTGGATGGCCAAGCTATTTCCCCAACCCCCTTTCACAATTCTTGGCAGTTTTAAAAATATCTGATCAACTTATATGGATAACTCTTATCCCTAGAGTCACAATTTATGTGTTCTATAGTGATTATGTACCTGATAGTAAAAAGAGTTACTAATAACTAGTGAAAAGAAGAATGACTTTCAGTTAAACGAGGGAATAAGAGCATGTGGCAGTTCTCTCTGCATGCCCCACACATTCCTTGAACCACAGTGTCCTCCAGGCCACCATGTGGTTCTAAAGGACGAGAGTGGCACCACCATCCAAGCATGGTGGCTGAGTCACACTCCCCTGTACATGACCAGACTCCCTCACCCGTCCACCGACGAACCCTTTGCACACTGTGGCAGTGAGGACCGCAGTGCCACACCTGCCTCCCTGCACACTCAGTCGCATGCACGCCCAGGGCAGCGCTGGCCGACCACACGGGAGTTCTGTCCTGCTGTCCTGCGGAGCCTCCAAATTGATTTGACAGTGTCTGTGCTACTACACACAGATATGGCAGAGGAAGAGACTTCTTTCTCCTTGTAGACTGTCAGCATCTGCTACTCTGGAAGCAGCTGGAGCATTGGGTTATTTCCATTCTGCTTAAAAATGGATAAATTCGTCTTCTGATCCTGTTCTGTGGCCAAAGAGTTGTGTCAGGTTGTTTAGGTCTCAGTGCAGTTGAGTTAGAGAACATCGTTAAGGAGAAGAGTAAGGGGGTTGGGAAGGAGCCCCATCGAGGCCGGTTTGGGGCTGCACATGACTGCAGTGAGGGAATCGCTGATAAACTCAGTTAAAGCCTATTGAATCAGATCCTGTGAGTGTGCAAAGCCTACGCCTGGATTATGAGTGTGGCGCATTTTTTCCAACAGCAATAGATTAATGAATGAGATAGTTCAGTTCATTTCTGAATGCAAATTTCATCTACCGGATATTGTTTGAGCATTGATTGGTGGTGTGGAAGGGGCACTGCGCAAGTCCCAGAGGCCTGGGAGTGAACTGGAAGTGAGGTGCGTGTGTGTGCCTGTGTGTGTGTGTGTGCGTGCATGCATGGGTGCATGCGTGCGTGCGTGCGTGTGTGTGTGTGTGTGTGTGTGTGTGTTTCTGCTCAGTTCTTCAGCTCTGCACCCTGCTGTTGTGTCTGACTGCTCCTTACATTGGTATGTTTAGCACACCACTGCAAGAGTCACCTAGGAGTCAAGACCCCTGAATCTAAGCAGGAATCAGTTCTTCTCTTTTAGCAAAATGCATTTATTCACACAGTTAAAAAAGGTTACAAAAGTATTATAGTGAAGATATTCTAGAACTTGACAATATTTTCTGTTCATATCTTAGGCACAGTTTAACAGTTTATCAATGCCAGACATTGGATAATTTTATTAGTTCAAAAGTGATACCTATTTTGTGATATAAATGGCTCTTAAAAGAAATTCAATTTTTTTTCTTTTCTCTTTTTAACAGTTTTACCTAGCCACACATGTGGGAATCCTGGGGAAATACTGAAAGGAGTTCTCCACGGAACCAGATTCAACATAGGAGACAAGATCCGGTACAGCTGCCTCTCGGGCTACGTGCTGGAAGGGCATGCCATCCTGACATGCATCGTCAGCCCCGGCAACGGCGCGACCTGGGACTTCCCAGCTCCTCTCTGCAGAGGTATGTTCCAGGGGTGAGGGTGTGACCGCGGCTCTGGTGGGCAATTTCCAGGTAGAAGAAAAAAGGACGTCCTGAGCTGGGCCCTCAGATGCCAGCTCCCTGGGTTTCCAAAATACCGAGATGTGTTTGGGAAGAAGCCATTGTCATAGTTCACTAACAAGTGACTCGTTCTTATATACCCAAAATATCTCAAACTTTTCTTCTTTCCACTTCTCAAACTTCACACAGTTCTGCCACAGTGTTTCAGGACTTTGTGCATGGATATGTCATGGATCTACAGGTTCTTGCTCGAAATGCTTCCTTCTCAAAAATTAAGAACTTCCCGCTGTAATTGAATTTTATCTTTAAGGATGCTTGCAGCACAAGGGCGTTTGCAGTGGGTGGGGTGACCCGAGGTGAGCGCACGGTTCCCACTGCTCGTTTCTGTGACTGTACAGGCTGGGCTTTCTTTTTCCTCCATCTTGGCAATGTTGGGAATTTCTTATAAAATCATTTTTATTTTCTTCAATCTTTATGGAAGTGTATTTTGAGCCTTACATTTTGACTGTCCTAAGAAATATTCACCTTGTGGCTTCCCAAAATGTATCTGACATTTACTGGGGCCTCAGTGAAACGCCAGAATGTGCTGAGCTCTGCGGTTGCGTGAAGCCGATTCTCCCAACCAGTGCCACAGTGAGTGTGGTCACCTCCCAGTAAACAGATGTCGGCCTCCCAGCAGTGACAAGAGGTGGCGTGCAAAGGGCTCAGCCGCAAGCTGCAGCCTGGCCTTGAATCCGTGCGCGACCTCGAGTCTGCATCCCTACGTAGCGCTGCACGCACACCTCAGCATGTCTTTGCTGAATATGTGCTACTTCATGAATACTCACCCGTTCTTAGTGTGATGCTTTCCTGAGACCTCTGTGAGGCTGACCGTCCTCCAAGTGCCACACTGGTGCTCCGGACTACCACAGTCACAGGATGCATGGCACCCCCGCTGCACCTCACCCGTGGGTGGGTCGCTAGTCACACAAGTGGCATGACTTAGGTCCTGCATGGAAATGCTGGGTGCTCCATAGGCTGTCCCCAGCCTGCAGAGGGAAGAGTAGGGGGGTAGAGTATGCAGAAAGTGGCCTTGAGCCCAACAGAAGTCCTGGGGGTATGTTGCAAATCCCTGGTCCTCTCCCGGGGCTGCTCCTTTCCTTCCGCCACTCCTAACGTGTTCATTTCCCTCTCAGTGTCCTTTGCCTTCATGACTATCTGACTTGGTGTTGTCAGGGCCACCATGGCCTGCACATCCAGCCTCCCACCAGCTCTGGCCCCAGTCCTCGAGAGCGGCAGCCAAGGCCCTGGCCCTGGTTTTGCTCTGCTTACCTGCACCCCCACTCCTCATCTCCCCCAGTTCTCACGCTCGCCCTTTGCATCCAGACCTGCTCCGAGCTCCTAAGTGAGCTAGGTCTAAGCTCAGCCCTCACCCTGCCTTCCCCCAGTCCTTCTCCCTGAGGCCAGAGCACCGTGGCATACCTGCCCTGAGCTATCTACCTTGGTGCCACAGCAAAAAATCACAGTGTGTGAGACACGGTTAATGCTGTGCTCTGTGACCCCTGGCCCCAGCTAAAGGGCCCGTCGCCTCCGGAGTGTCCCCGCATCCCAGAAGCCCAGCTTTGCACAGTGCAGGGCCGGCTGGACTTAGAAGCACAGGCTCCTCCTCTGGGCCTGCCCTCGGTCTCAGGCCCATGGGTCGGGCCACCCACGCCCTGGAGTGAAGCCCACGCAGGCTGCCAGCAGGTGTGCTGGTCCCTGTGTTGCCCTGGAGTGCATCAACCCTGATCCCACCTGGACTTCTGTCCTGCAGCACCTTCTCCTCCTTACTCACAGAAAACTTGCCAATTTGTGAAATCTAAACTTTGGGCCAGATTTATAATTATTCAAGTAAAAGTTTTATTGACTGTGGAATTTCTTAAAACCCACCAATTTTTAGAGAATAAAATAATAATAAAAACACCATGAGAAATGATGCAGAACTTCAATAAAAAAAAACATAATAGGAATTTAACGAGGGTTATTGTATTGTTTATCATTGTCTTCAGGTTCCTTGTTTAGATTATCAGCTATAAACATGCAAAATTTGTCTGAAAAAAAAAGAATGAAAATTTAACCACTAACTTTCCTTTCAATAGACAAGCAAAAATCAGCAATACGATCATCCAAGATAGTCTGTGTATATACATACATTTTTCTCTCTTTCTTTCTTTTCTCCTTTGCCTTATCCCATTTGTTCCTATCCCTTGAACAGCATCTTTCACCTTCGTTATAGCTTTCAAATTTTATTTACTCATTCAATTTTTACACTAAGGAGGCAATATCATGTTTACACATGTGGGTCTGAGTTAGTTCACTTATGAATGCAGTCTGGAGGGATATCCACTTATATATAAAGGCCTCAAGGTTACCTGTATTTAAGGCTGAGGAATACTCCATCGTATAATAATACCATCTCTTTTTTATCCATTCCTTGGTTGACCGGCATGTGGGCTGTATCCCAGATTAGGCCATGACAACTTGTGCTGCTATAAACATGGGTACACATACATTGCTGAGGTCTGAGGTTTTTCAGTTCTTCTAGAAAAATACCCAGGAGGGGAAGAGCTGGGCTGAATGGACCTCTAATCTTAGGTTTTGAGGAATGTCCACACCAGTTTCCACAGTGGTCACCCCAGTGTATATGCCTACTAAGAGTAGGGAATGTTCCTCTTATCCCTAAATCCCCTCCAGCATTTGTTATTGATTGACTTCTTGAGAATAGCCATTCCTTCTGGGGTGAGATGGAATCTCACTGTTATTTTAATTTGCATTTCACAAATGACCAATGGTGTTGAAATTTTTTCATATACTTATTTTCTATTTCTACTTCTTCATCTGAGAAGTATGCATCTGTATGCATCTCAGTTGCCCATTTCTTAATTGGGACTTTGACTTACGGGGGACCTCACTTTTCAAAAATTGTTTATATGCTCTAGATGGAAGTCCCTTGTCTGAGGGGAAGTCAACTGAAACTTTGTACCAATTTGCGCATTTTCATTTTACTTTGTTGATTTCTTTTGATGTGCAAGAACTTCTCAGTAAGATAGATCCCAGTTGTTCATTCTTAGAAGCATTCCCTGGGCAGTTTGGTTTTTATTCATAAACTCTGTGCCTACCCCTATATCTTCAAGATTTCTAGCACCTTTTTTTAAGTATAATTGGTATTTCTGTTTTAATATTTAAATCTATCCTCCATGTCATAGAGATAAACATGGGTCTAATTTTAGTCCTTGGCATGTGAAACACCAGTTTTCCAGAACCATTTAGTGAAAGAGGTTACTGTTCTTCCAGTGAAAATGTTTGACTCTTGTCAAAGATAAAGTGTCTAAGTGTGTTTGTAATTGCATCTGCATATTCTAATCTATTCCATTGATCCTCAGGTCTGTTTTATTTTTCCAAGTACCATGCTGATTTTATCATAGTAGCTTTGTAGTATGATTTCAAGTTAGAAATTATGATGCTTCCTGGCTTTGCTTTGTTGTCCAAAATTGCTTTTCATATTCTAGGTCTCTTCTGGTTCCAGGTGAATTTCAGAATGCTTTGTCTAGCTCTATGAAGTATTCTAATGGTATCTTGATCAGGATTTCATTAAATCTGTATAACAATTTTGGAAGTATGGGCATTTCCAGCATGTTGGTTCTTCCTATCCACGAGCAAGGAATATCTTTCCATTTTTTGATATGTTCTTTGAACTCCTTTTTCAGAATACTGAAATTTAAAACATACGGATCTTATACTATCTTCACTAGTTTGATCCCTAAGTATTTCAGTATTTTTAGATGCTATTGTGAAGGATGTGGTTTCCCTAATTTCTCTTTCAGTGAGATTGTTGTTTGTGTACAAGAATGTTACGTTTGTGTGCTGACATTTATGTAGCTACACAGCTGAATTTGGTTTTTAAGTCTGCAACAATTTAGTGAAGTTTTTAGAGTTCTCTCTGCAGAGTATCATGTCGTCCACAGGTAATGGTAACTTAACGTCTTCTTTTCCAATTATTCTCCCCCTTGTCTAATTACTATCGCTAATATTTCCAGAACTATATTGAATAGGAGTGATGACAGTGGGCGTCCTTGTCTTGTTCCTCATTTCAAAGTTAAACCTTCCATTTACTTGTCCATTCAAGATGTTGTTGGCTGTTGGTTTGCCATAGATGGTTTTTGTCAGATTAAGATAGTGACCATTTATTTCAATTTTCTATAGGGTTTTTTATGATGAGTGAATGTTGGACTTTGTCAAAAGATTTTTCTACATCCATTGAAATGACTATGAGACATTTTTGTCTTTGGCTTTGTTGATGTGGAGTATCACATTTGTTGATTTGTACGTATTGATTTGTACAGGCTTCCATTTATGGGATGGTCCTACTGGGTCGTGATGTGTAATCTTGATGACTTGCTGTACTGTGTTTGCTAGTATTTTATTGAGGATTTTTTGCATCTATGTTCATTGGTGGGATTGGACTGTAGTTCTCTTTTTTGGTTTGTTCCTTCTCTAGTTTTGCTATCAAGGTAAACCTTGTATCCTGTAATGTGTTTGAGAGAATTGTTTCCCTTTCCATTTCATTGTAGAATTTGAGAAGAATTGGCATTAAATCTTCTCTGAATTTCTTGTAGAATTCATCTATGAATCCATTAGGACCTGATCTTTTCTTTGTTGGTAAGTTTTGATTACATTTTCAATATCATTAACTGATATTGGATTATTTAGAATTTTTATGTTTTCTTGATTCAGCTTTGGTAACTTGTATATATCTAGAATTCTGTCCATTTCTTCTGTGTTTTCCATCCTGTAAGAGTAAAGATTTTTGAAGGCAGTTTGTTTATTTGGGCTCATTTTTATTTTCCTGATATATGAATTTAGTGCCATAATTTTCACCATTAGGACTGCTTTCCTTTGTCCTACAGGTTCCAATAAGTTATATCTACATTTTTGTTTTATTG